AGCGTGTCTTCCCGCTGGCAGGAAGCGGGTCGAAAATATGCCCTGACTTACGTACGCGTTTGTAGAACAAGCTACGCGGACATACACGCCGTGTTCTTTTTACTTTAATTTTTTTTTAATTATTATTATTATTTTTATCTGCTGGAAACAGGGATGTCTTCTTGCTGCTCCAGGAAATTAAAATTAGCAGTAGGAAGGCCTAAATTATAGAAAAAACTCTAATTACCTGTAACTGTGCTTCTTCAAGATACGTCCCACTCAGCAGATGACCTGACGCAGAGCACAGCTACCCGGAGAACTGCTGCAGCAGCACTGTTACCGAAAACTGTAACCAAGAAAACTTTCCAGACTAAACGGTAGCTTAGAAAGACGATACTGGTTTATCTGAGCGCCGGGTGCTGGGGGATTTCTCCTCCTGAGGTGCACACGTGGCTCCAGGATTGAATGTATATTAGTTATACATTGTAATCACACGTATTCATAACGTTTCCCTGAAATCATACTTATTCGGTGTTATTATCATAAGTAATCAGTTAATTTTCTCTCACCTAGCATGTAAATTACTTCACACACTCCGTCCTTTGCCTCCACCCCTTTCATTTGGGTCTGGGCTACATTTAGGGTCAGTGGTCCATGAGTCAGTGGTGACAGTCTCCCCCTGCCGGAATTACTTTTCCCCCAGTCACTGCTGCACGCGCTGACAATCCAAAACATGGTAACAAAGTTTATGCATTTTGTGGGATGTTCCCCCTTCAAGGACAGCGAGCTCTTGACAAGGAGCTTCTCAACTAATCCCTCTTGACAGCTTCAAGGATGGTCATCCTATTCCCTGACCTTGTGTGCATATCTGTGTTTAGATACATGCGAACAGCCTACTAAACCTTTCATGCCTTCCGTTCACAAAACATAACTCCTTCATTGTTGGGTAGCAGCATCAGCACAGTCCTCCCACCTCCCCATGCAGCACGCCAGAAGCTGTGCGAAAGGGCGTTCATTCCTTGCATCCCTGCACAAGCACCTCTAGAAAAGAAGGAGGAGGCTTCAGGGAAAGAACCGAGAAGGCAGATTGCTGATCTACAACATTTAAGTACAGATCAATACTTCTCTTGGGACTGCTGCTTTACATTCGTGCATTCGTACGGCAGGGAAATCTAACCGATAGCTGTGTACTTAGAACTGGGTTGCAGAAGCCCTAGCTCAATAGACTGAAAGATTAATTTCCCAAAAGCCAATTTAAAAATTAAGCCTAGTTGCCCATCAGCGATGGTGGCAGTGCCTCTGTGATAATGTATTTAAGAAGGGGAAAACAACCCGTGCAACTCAAGAGGAGTCAGGAGAGAGAGGGGTGAGAATACGGAAACAGCCCTGCAGACACCAAGGTCGGTGAAGAAGGAGGGGGAGGAGGTGCTCCAGGTGCTGGAGCAGAGATTCCCCTGCAACCTGTGGTGAGATGGCAGGCTGCCTCCCTGCAGCCCATAAAGGTTAACGGTGGAGCAGGTGGAGGACCCCATGCTGGTGTGGGTAGATGCCTGAAGGCATTTCCAGCAGCTTGTGGGAAAATAACTGAAATTGGGGAAAATGGAGAAATACAGCTTTGCAAAATTCGGCTCAAAGGCTGCAATATTAGAGCATCTTTGAAGTGAGACACAGTTGCTGCTTCCAGGACGGACACGGCCTGCTGGTCAGATGAAATGCGCAATGTCTTTGAAGTAGGGATTAGAGTGGTATGGAAGTACCATGGCTCATCCCTGTTATCAGGGGCAAAGAAAATCTGGTGAAGATAACTGTCTAATAGCCATCAAGGAAGATGGATCGCAACTGTTGCCCCAGGAAATCTTGTCCTTTAGTTGAACTTTGCTCATTATAATTTCATTATAGTACCAAAACACACCTCCACCTCAAACGCTACCCGCCTCTGGGCTGCGACCACCCCTCACTGAGCAGGCGCCCTGAATTTCTTCTTGCCTGTACCTTTAAATCGAAGCGAGAAAAGTTTACACCAATCCTAACAAAGGTATGTATGACTAGAGTCACTCAAGCTCCACCTGAAAGTAAAGAAATAGTATAAAATGGCAAAAGACAAAGGGGATGCTAGGGAGAAGCCCCTCCCTTGAAACATCTGGGATCAGTCAACAGGCTGAACCTCTCTTCTCCCCTCCATAGGGACATCTATTGGGTAAGAGCTCTGTGTTATGCACATTTACTTACTAACATCTTATTAGCTATTTGGTGTTATCACTGATCAGTAATAGTTTTATATTATCACTGCAGTATTTCAATTAAAGTTGTTTTGTAGTCAGTCACTATCACTGGCTATCTATGAATCTATATCCTGTCACAAATAAAACCTTACATATACAAAAGTTCTGGAGACTTTTGCCCTTATATAAGGAGGTTGGGCTATATATAGTATTACCGAACTGATGTACTCGCCAAAGATATATACAAAGGTCCCAGCAACTTTTGACCTTATTATACAGACCAGTCGTTTTAACTTCAAAACGTGACATAGCTCCATGTCCTTCTTGTGCTGGGGACTCCAGGGCTGAACTCAGTATTCCAGGTGGGGTCTGACAAGAGCAGAATAGAGGGGCAGAATCCCCTCCCTCGAGCTGCTGGCTATGCTGCTTTTGATACAGCCCAGGATACGGTTGGCTTTCTGGGCTGGCAGCGCACATTGCCGGCTCATGTTGAGCTTCTCATCCACCAGCACTCCCAAGTCCTTCTCAGGACAGACAAGTAGCAAATGGCGATTATGACAGTATGAAACCTGCTTCTTTCTTTTACTCTCTCGCATCACATTCCACCATCACTAATTTGTATTAGACTGCTGTGAGATTTAAGACAAGTAGGAAAAGTGTTTAAGGCAAAGATTATCCTGTCTTCCCTAGTCAGTAGGACAGAGTTAAAATCAGTATTTCCATAAGTGCAATGTAGGCTTAAAGCTCTTCCAAAGGCTCAGACTACAAACAACTTCACTACTTTGAACAAACTTCATGATTTTTCAGTAATTCTGGTGGAGGACAAAGCTTACTTTACAAGCCTTGATGTGAATTGCTTCCCATATACAATTCCTATTTTCTATAGGATGACTTGGCATATTTCTTACCTACACGTTAGACATACTGTCTCCACAAGCTCACAAAGTATACATCTGGAGTCTCACAGCCACTTTACAGAAAAGATGCAAAACTAAGACATGTAGAGTGGCGTCCCTTTAAGACACTATTGCTTTATAATAATGCATATACAAATGCTTGTTCCTTAGGACTTTACATTTAAAGTAAATATGTTTTTCACAAGATGTCTGCTTGTATAGGAAGTCTGACCTGTATTTGGATGAAAAGTTTTGTATGAAAAATATGCTCAACGTTAGAGAATGTGTGTGTGCAAATGATCTAATTTAATTTTCACTTTTCTAGTTTCTGGATTTTAGTCTAGAGATTTTGAAATGCTAATATAGTTCTTATAACCATATTGCCCTTTGATAAATTTTATTTTTTTCCAGTAAGTATTAGAAGATAATGCTCTCTGTGAATGTGTACTTAAAAGAAAAAAGAGTAATTAGGTGAAGGGGACATAGAAGATGGACCAAAAAAATTTTTCTTTTTAAAGCAAAAAGTGGCGAAATTATACTAAAGGAAACAAAGCTAGTTAAATTTTATTTTCCAAAACTCCAACCTAAATAAGTATGTTAAATAAACATCCAGGAAAGTCAGTGCTCACTCTATTAGCAGATGCACAAGTTATTTAACCAAACAAATAACAGTGAAATATTAACAGAATTATTTACATGTGTATTTACAACATGTGTTCTTTACAGTAGATAACTTTTGGGAAATATTTCCATTTGCTTTTTGATAAAGGGGTTTTACTCAGTCTAACCAGTAACAGGTAACAGGAAACAATACAACTGAGTTTGGCAACAACAACGATGGAGTATCCTAGAAAAACTAACATGATTATATGGGGTCAAAACAGAGCAGTTGCTTCAGAATGTTAACGTTTATGAAATATATGAATTTAATCCAGCTACCAGAATAAATCAAGCTATGTAAAATCAGAAGAATGGAGAAAGTTACAAGGGTTGCTGGAAGGTTAGACATGTTAGATATATATAAAAAACCCCAAACTGAGCACTGCACATACTCTTGAGAAGCATGGCTTAAAACATAACTGTATTCATATAGTCTTGAAGAACACAAATGAAGAGATAGTTTTTGCTTTTAAGAGTTGAATATAAGCTTATCTGAACCAAAGATCTCGAAAGCACCTGACTTCCAAAATACTGCTTGCTTTTTCACATATCGACACATAACATGTTTATTTCAGAAAAAAAAAGTCCAGACCTCACCCATATGGGTTTTGGAAGAGGAAGAAAAAGGAAATAAATCAAAACACCTCACACAGAACAGAACCTTCACAAACCACTTCTCATGATTGTGATCTACAGAAAAAAAAAAAAAATCTGATCATACTCTCCTTAGCAAAAAAAAAATTCATTAAATATCAAATATCTTGTATATGGCAAAAAGGATGAGTAAATCCCAATATATACTAAAACAAGCAAGCAAGCAATTAAATTTATATCAAGTTGTTCTTCCTCTTTCTCCCCCGAGGGAAATTTTATGGGACAGTTCTCCATTAAATTTTAATTTCAATCATGGTAACTTTTAAATCACTTTTATTGCAGCCAAAACATTGTTCATATACCTGTACATAAAATAAACTATGATATATACACAACATTTTAAGTTACAGGGCATAAGTTTACAATTTTTGGCAGATTCTGTTACACAAAATGGAAACTGTATAACTTTAGTACTTGGAGAAACAAGTTCTTTATTTTGGTACAAACGTTTTATATCCCCATGTATTCTAGCCGTACCTAAACTGGCTTAATAAACTAACGTTGATGTGTAACATCTCACTGTTTTCTCTTATGTTCTGATTCTAGACAGAATTTTTCGTATGCTTCTTCAATTTCTGGATCCATCTCATCATCAATGTAATCAAAATACCTAAAAAAAACCAAAAAAAGTCACCAAAGATGTGAAGTTTACATACAGATTTTCAGAAACATTTACGTAGACGTCAATATAAACCAGAGCTTTATAAACAGCAGTTAACTATGACATTTTCTTAAAGGGGATGAAGAGGAAAAAATCATGGGCACTAGGAAAACAAATAAACAGAAACATCAAAGCAGCACAGATAGGTACAAATAGCTTCACTGTTTGTCACCATTTTAGATCATCTTAGGCTGTCTGCAGTTTAAAAGACAGAAATAGTTTCTGAAATGACAGAAAATGCAATAATGCAATCCAGCTTCCTAATATTCAATAAAGCATCTGTACTGGTCTATTTCCAAAAATCATAATTGGTATAATATTAGCATAAGTTTTGGTTGGTCAACATCCTAGCTTGAATGCTGCATAAACTGTCTTGGTTGCACAGTCGTCAAAAAAAAAATAGTTACATAGAAAACCTGCACTTCCATTTGTTGAGATATGAAAGAAGGCAATCCGAAGTCACCTCTCTTTTGCATCTGCATTCTATTACCAAAGATCTGTCTCATGAAGGTCACAGAAAAGACTGGATCCCATTAATGATAATAAGTATTGCACAGAGTGGAGACTACCATGGAGTTCCAAAATGATGGGGATCACTTCAGCGTTCTTTCTCACCACAGTTATTGAGAAATAACTTGAATGTTCCTTATTTTCTCTAAGTCCAGCTAGGGTGTTCATCACTGTAAACTAAGGCAGCAGAGTTCTGCCTTGAACATGATAGTGTATATAATTCTAAGTGGCTTTAAAAAAAACAGCCAGCAGCTACTGACTCTTAAGAAGCGCGCACTAATGTCAGGCGCTCAGTTTATTATCTTCTGCGCCTTAGTTCCAAACAAGTAAGTCAGCCTGTCTCATCTGCACAGAAGCCATAAATGGTGTGGTTCACACAAAACCACACTAAGTGCCACAGAAATGTATAAGAAAAGTATTTTTTTCTTCAGCATAGTGCATTGAAGAAGCAGTCTACATATTTATTTCACTTGTTCCTCCATTCTTACAGAAGTGTAGACTTGAGAAGGGGCTCAACATACAACCTTTCTCCCTGATGTCTGTCATGAGAAATAGCTGAGAGAGGATCAGGATACATTTGTCTAAGCTTTTCTTAAGCCTTCAACAAAGAAGGTTGCACAGTCACCTTGCATGAAGGTTAACTCACAGTCTTCCACATGTCACGCTTCGGATTTGCTGTGTTTTTTAACTGCTGTCTCTCTCCATTTTGCATTTAATTGTTTCTTCTAAGCACAGCAGTTCAGATGGGTATTTTCTTCCCCTCAGTATGAACTTTTTGATTTCTGATGACACCTCTGATGTATCTCCCAAAGTTCTTGCCACTCCCCCCAGCTAGACACCATCTAAAAGTTTTCTCATTTACAAAAATATTGATCCAGGCCAGCACTCTTATCACTCAGAAACACAACACTAAAAATGTTCCTAGTATCAAATCATGATCTGAAAGTCCTCCTTCAACCAGGAGAGTACAAAGCTGTGCATAATTCATTTTAGACTGTACTTCTTTCACTGGTTTCCTATTAAATTCTTATAAACCAGTGTTAGAAAGTCAGACTACATTCCCATCTGTTGCTTCCCTCTTTGCTATTAAGTTGCTTTTCTTGTTCTACAAGAATACTGAATAGGCATTTAACTGAAGGAATACTACTTATCCTGAGGAGAGATGCTTAACAATGTTCTCCCTTTGAAAGACGCAGAAAATGTTGTAATCATCTCTGGTTGGGATGCACATATGCATCAGTCAAATGAATTTAGGTTGCCTCACTAACAACGCTTAAAGGTCTGGTGCTTTGTTTTGCCTATAGGTTTATTTTTTTTATGTACATGTGCATAAATATCTGAAATGTAATTACCCTACTCAGTTTGATAAGTAGAAAATTCATTTCAAATTTGTGCGAATACAAACTTACACCTGAACAAATACATCCATTATAGAGCTAAATAATAATATTATTTAGTTTCATTTTTGTCAAGATTTGATTCCTAAATCTGCAGTAAAAATAACCAGTATTAAAAATCCCTGTCACTGAAAAAGAAAACATACAGATCTCCAGGTCCCGATAAATCTGTTCCATTTTCTTCATAATCTGGAAACAAATCCTCTCTTTCAAGCAGCTCTTGGTATTTTTCTTGGTAATCTGGCAAAGTAAAAATGAGACTAAGTAATATATAAGATTTCTTTCCTAAATTAACATACATCTATACAGTTTGAAAACAGCCTATTTAATGAAAGATATTAAAAATTCCTGCTACGGTGTTTTCTCAGCACCTTAATCGACCTCTAAGAATGATACCTATCTTTCCAGAGAGCCGTAAAGGTAGTCACAGATGTCTTTACCTCAAACAATGTCATGCCACATTGTGTTCAGATTATAGAAAACAGAGAAACTATGGAAGAAAGTAATCCTTTTGCTACTAACAACAGACAAAAAAAAAAGATGAATTGAAGATTTCTTGCTTCCTGGAAAGACCAAGTGCTGAGGACTATAGCACAAAATTTTTCTGAACTATACAAACTCAAATACATATTCTCCATTTCAAACATTTACCTTCTTCTAATGCAGAATAGGGCATGTGTTACACAAAGCCAAGAATTCAGACCTAATTTTGTCTTTACGTTGTATAAGGTTCAGACATCTAAAGAACAACTTTTTATGTACTTCAACAGGACATAAACTTAATTACAACTTCTTTCTTAAAGAAGACTGAGAAGAGAGGTATACTAAGCTTGTGACGTACCTGGATCTGCTGCAGTGAAAGGAACACCATCAGAAGTGTAAAATGTTGGCTCATTCTAAGAAGAAAGTTATACAGAATGTTATATGCATTTTGAGAGGCAGCTGTTTGTATTTTCAGCAATGTGATTGCCTATGAATCAAATTAAATGCACGTTAAAGAACTGAAGTGTCTGAACATTCTTACCATAAAATAGTTTGGGTCATTTTCAGGGGTAGCTTCTGTATGTGGAGAAGTTCCATGAACTCGACCCCAGTTACTTGATCGCAGTTCTACTAGTTTCAGAAGCGTGTGTTTCACATCTCTGGAATAAAGAGAAGCACTACAGACGTTAGAATGTTCTCTGCTAAGCAAGAAACTGTACGTCTCTCATCTTGCAAATACTAGACAGTTAAATCCCTCCCCCTCCACCCCTAAACTCTAAAAATTACAAAATCTGGTTCAGTGTGCAGATTAAGTTAATTTTTTTTCCCTGCAAGTCTAGATGCTTTATGTGTCGATTACGAGACAACTCACCCTCTCTGCTTCGTCTGTGGTAAAGTAAGGAGCCCATATGAAACAGAAATTGCTACAGTTTTTATCAAGATACCAAACCTGCAGCACAAGTTGAGGAACAAATCCTTTTCTGATAAAAAGATAGCACTAGGAAAACCAGGGGGATGATCTTCAAATAGTATTTTAATAATCTAATTTATGCTCCTAACTTTAGCCCTCTTAATCACACTGAAATTTTGCAGTCAACAGTGAGAGAAGTAACACCTTGAATATATTAGATATCAGCAGCCATTTCATCCCTAAAATAATGAGAAATTGCTTTCTTCTTTTAAGTAAGTCCATGGAGACGAGCGTCATTAAGGAATAAATAAAAGTTTTCAGTTGTTTTCTCTATTAAAGTAAGTTTCTGCTTTGTGTCTTTGAAGCCTCAGCTTGCACTATCAATTTTCTGTAGTTTCTGAAGCAAAATTTTCCTCATCCTCCCTGGGGGCAGCTCAATTACATCAGCCAACCACTCATTTTTTCCCAGACTGAAGTCAGACCCTGCCAAAAAGGTAAGCTTTTCAGAAAAAGAAAAAAAACAAAAAACCAAAAAAAAACCCCAAACCACAAAGCATATTCTATTTTGCCTTTACATTTATAGTGTTTTGTATATGTTTAATACTGTAACATATTTAATATTGTTTGTATATTTAATACTGTTAAATTCAGATTTAAAAGTATAAACAACGAGATATTGCCACTATTGTCTCTTTGTATATATACTTGCTCTTAGAGCCTAAAGCACTTACGAAAGATTTCAAGACCTAAAACGTTGGGAAAAAAAAAATTAAAAAAATCATTACAGTGGAACATGCATCTCTATTAAAAGATAAAAACAAACAAAACCCACAAACCCCCTCAACTAAAAATACTGTTTTTTTCCCCAAGGGAAGTGATCCAAATATCACCTTACTTTTCATAAAAGTTTTTAAGATAATGTTTTGGACATGTTAATTATTCTTGAAGATTATTATGGTGTTTACAGTATAGAAAAATAAAACACTGCACTTAAATTTATCTTCTCACCTGCTACAGTTTGCATCCAGTACAACATTTTCAATTCTCTGAATAACTTCTTCCATATCCTTCTTTCCTTTTTCTTTCCAAGCATCTTCTAAAACTGAGCCTGTCAACTAAAGGCAAGGGATTAGGTTTGTTGGGGTTTTTTTTAAAGAAAAATTACAAAACTTGAATGATCTGCCAACAGAAGAGATTCAGTAACAATTCATAACATTTAGATGCATTGTCTGACTGCCTGAGAGATGGAGCTCCCTATCACCTATGTCTTTTTGCTACAACAGACCTTGTAAATAGTTAATTTTAGACTACAGACAGTATGGTAGCTCTATGTCCAATGTTTATGTTATTAAAAGTTCACAGCCACTTCTCTCCTTTCAGTCTTGAAATATGACTTTGAAAGAACTCTTCAGTGACGTGTCAAATCTTACTTGATGTAAGTACATGCTATAAAAAAGGAGACCTCATTTTTGTACATGATGCCACCAGCTTACCTGAGAATAACAAGTACTTTAATAAACTTTAGAAATGCGTCAGTCAACTTAGCTAGCATCAGACATGCCAGCAAATATAATATGTGTTATGTGCAAGAGGAGCCAAGAATTATCTGACCAAGCCAGCCCGAATTTTAATACATAAAATCTGTGAGGCTGAAGGGGCTGCTATGAGAGCTTTAGCAGTAGACAAGTCTAGAACTGCTGTGGATGAAAGTTTTTAAGTTAAGAACAGGTACTTCATTGCCCAATAATTGCACAGTAGGAGTTAAATCAGAAAAAATTAGCTTGCCACTGTGATCAGAGTTAATAGCAATTCCTCGTGTACTCAGCATAAATATTACATGATCCAAAATGCTTGGAATGGCATCTGATGATACAAAGGAATTAAACGCCAAGGTAAAAGCGAGCATCCTAGTCAGGACTTGTTCAGTGTTCCCAGTTTTCTACAGTGGTTCTACCTTGATCCTAGATAATTAGATAATAGGCCAAGAAGGTTTAATTAACAATAAACATATCTGTTCCAGTTTTAGCTGGGACAGTGTTAGCTCTTCCTTTTTTTTAACAGCTAGAAGAGCTCCGTGTTTTGGTTTCACTCAGAGGCTCGCTCTGAGAAGAATGCTGATAGCAAGTTGATGTTTGTGGTTGGATGTGAAACTCCAAGGACTTTTCAGTGTGCCGGAGTGCAGAAGCACGGCGGGATAAGGGGGGAGCATAGCTGGGACAAGGGGGACACGATTCCCCTTGTGATTTGTGGCGAACTTAAGATTGAGGGCCAAACTGGCCAATTAGTATTCCATATCATGCAGCGTCATGCCCAGTATAAAAGTGAGGGTCAGCTGGGAAGAAGGGCTTTTGCGCTTTGGCTTTTGCCGCTTTTGCTCTTTTGCGCTTGCTGTGTTTTTCGCTCTATTGCTTTTCTTTCTTTTTTTTCTTTCCTCTATCTCCCAGTACTCCCACTCT